AATTTTGCTAGGTACATACAGCTTAATTCGTACTAATATAATTTTATATTTTATGAAATTCAGTTCCTGCAGCAAAAATTTTATTTAGAAAATATATTATAGTTCAGTGTAGAAGTGAGATTTTGTTCAAGAAAAATCTTATTTTAGTGATCTAAAAATAGAACAACAGTGATTAGAGTGCTTTTAATTAATGTAAAAACACCCTGCCAAAGGCCATATAAACCTACACACCAACTCAAGGAGCATTCTTCTCCTTCGCCATCTTCCTCTCCTCTACATTTTCATTTTTTTTTTCCTTCATTAAAATCTCTAGTTGCAGTGGGGTGAAATAAGCACTTCCTGTTGCCATGGCGACTCATCGATTTGTGGCTCCACTAATGATAGTTTTTAAAACTTGTCACGCACACTCTTAACCCCGTGTGCACCTACTTATAGTTAATTGAAATAATTCATAGCAGCTGTAGAGAAACCGAAAACTCAGAGATCCCAACTTTAGGCTAAAACTATTTGGAGTTGATGATTTGAATCTGAATTTGTTAAACCTGCTTTGTGAAACGGACCTCTTAACATAACATTACACTGACGTTGGCTTCAGATTATTGAAATTAATACATTTTTCCCAACCATCGGCATCTTAAATCTACTACAATTAAAAAAGTACCTAGACACATTAAACCTGGATTTGTCTAGGTATTGCAGTTCGAGAGCTAGACTACTTCTAGTGTGACATGGAGACAAAAAAAAAGTATTAAAATCGGTCTTTATTAAAGTGTCACAAATCAGAAAGGTTTCCAAAACCCCAAACCTAGTTGTAGTTATTCTAGATCTCGCTTAGAAAAATCTGTTCCAGGTTAGACGTATCTAGGTGCTGTAGTTTTTTTTTATTGGAGTAGATTAAAGATGGTAAAGGTAAGGGAAAATTAAGCAGAATCGCCCTTTATTGGTTTCCCGAATCGGAAGCTAGAATCGCAAGCAAACTTCAGCTTAGTGTAAATAACGTGGATAAAAATAAGTCAAAGTCTGTACAATCAAAACGGTCAAATTTGTATTCTAAAGGTGACTTTAGTAAAATGAATAAAAGAATGAAACCTTTCAAACAACATGATGAAATCATGAAGCATTGCTTAGCTTCATTGCTAATAGCTACTGAGTAGCTATTAGCTACTCAGTAGCTAATAGCAATGCAGACTTTGACTACGAGTTAAACTGTGATATTTGACGAAAATCGCTTCTGCTTATGATACACTTAATCCTCGAAATAATTAATTCATATTTTTCCACGGTGTACTCACCTCAGCGAACGTAGACGTGGGCAGTTACTGGCTAAGCTCTCCGTGTTAGCAAGCGAAGTCAGTTTCTTCTTCTGTGGTTTA